CTGTTCAGCTCAAGGCGAGCGCTCTACTACTTGAGCCACAGCGCCACTTCTAGTTTTCTAGTGGTTTATTGGAGATAAGAGTCCCACAGCCTTACCCTGGCTGACTATGAACTGCAATCCTCAGATCTCAGCCTCCTGAGTAGCTAGATTACAGGCGTGAGCCACCAGCATCCGGCTACCATTTATTTATTTTTATTGTGAAAATACTGTACAGAGGGGTTACAATTACATGGGCAAGATAATGACCATTTACTTTTTAAAATAATCAAGTTCTAACCTGAACAGGCAAGAGGTCTGAGTTTAATCCCTAACATGGACAAAAAAGAAAAAAAGGGGAAAGCTTGTGATTTTTTTTTTTGCCTTTCTTCTTTCTGTTTAGATTAAGATCAAGCAGCCAGATGTCTAGGAAACAAACTGAAGATGCTGAGAAAACTCAACTGAAGATGTTAGGAAAGGGAAGCTGAGAAGAGCCTTATTATGAAGTTACTATATCATCTATAAACTTACTTCTAGGCTCCCTTATTTTTGATACTTGTTTTTGTTTGAGGGGGAAGGGGGCAGTTCTGGGGCTTGAACTTATGGCCAGGGCACTATCCCCGAGCTTCTTTTGTTCAAAGCTAGCACTCTATTACTTAAGCCACAACTCAGGAGGTTGAGATATGAAGATTAAAGTTCAGCCCAATCAAAAAAACTGGTTAAGACCCAGGTGCAGGTGGTTCATGACAGTAATTCTAGCAACTCAGGAGGCCAACATCTGAGGACTATTGGTTCAAAGCCAGTCCAAACAGGAAACATCCAAGAGACACTTATCTCCAATAAACTACTCAAAAAAGCTCAGTGGCACTGTGGCTCAAAGTGTCAGAGCACTAGTTTGGAGCAAAAGCTCAGGAACAGTGCCCAAGCCCAGAGTTAAAGCCCTAGGACTGGCAAAAAAAATGTTGGTAAGACTTTAGCCAGCAAAAAGTTGGAAAGCACTAGGTTTTGAATGGTAAAAGCCAAGCAAGAGCACGAGGTCCTAAGTCCAGTACTTATACAAGAAAAAAAAAAAAAAAAAAAGGTAGGATATAAAAATTCTCTACAGGGGCTGGGAAGGTGGCTCAGTGGTAGAGCGCTTGCCTTGCATGCATGAGGCCCTGAGTTCGATTCCTCAGCACCACATAAGCAAAAAGAAAAAAGCCACAAGTGGCGCTGTGGCTCAAGTGGTAGAGCGCTAGCCTTAAGCTGAAGAGCTGAGGGACAGTGCCCAGACCCAGAATTCAGGCCCCACGATCAGATCTCTCCCCCCCCCCCAAAAAAAAATCTCTACAAGGGGCTGGGAAGGTGGCTCAGTGGTAAAGCGTTTGCCTTGCATGCATGAGGCCCTGGGTTCGATTCCCCAGCACCACATAAGCAAAAAGAAAAAAAGCCGGAAGTGGCACTGTGGCTCAAGTGGTAGAGCGCTAGCCTTGAGCTGAAGAGCTGAGGGACAGCGCCCAGGCCCGGAGTTCAGGCCCCACGACCGGACCAAAAAAACTCTCTACAAGTTAAACTTAAGGCTGGAGGTATGATTAAGTGGTAGAGAACCTGCCTAGCCAAGTGTAAGTTCAAATCCCAGTAGGAAAACAAAGAAAGTTAAATTTGAAATAAATGATGCAAAAATGGTTTATGGAGTATTTGGATGCAGTAGTTCATGATGTAATCCCAGCCACTTAGGAAGTGGAGAGCCAGATCTTAGTTCAAGACAAGTCTGGACAAAAAGTTAGCAAGACCCCACTTCATCCAACCAACTGGGTACGGGAGCATGACTCACTTGCTTAGCAAGTGTGAGGTCCTCAATTTAAACCACAGTACAGGGGCTGGGAAGGTGGCTCTAGAGCGCTTGCCTTGCATGTATGAGGCCCTGGGTTCGATTCCTCAGCACCACATAAGCAAAAGGAAAAAAGCCGGAAGTGGCGCGTGGCTCAAGTGGTAGAGCGCTAGCCTTGAGCTGAAGAGCTGAGGGACAGCGCCCAGGCCCAGAGTTCAGGCCCCACAACTGGACCCAAAAAAAATAAACCACAGTACAACACCACCACCCCCACATAAATGGTGGTAGAGTACCTGCCTGGAAAGCATGAGGCTTTGAGTTCAATCCCCTGTATTAAGGGGGAGAAAAGCTGAATAGGATTAAATGAAAAGAAAAAGTTAGAAAGACCCAAGAAACCAGATTATCTTAGACTCCTTACCAGTTTTGATCTCCACTCCTCATGACCGAAGAGGCTAAACATAGCTTCTCCCTGATGGACCATGGCTCTGTGGGGCCTGTACTCAGCAGCTTGTGTTCTAAAAAGAAAGAAGACTTTTAAGCCCCCCAAAAAGTAAGAGCCTAAAACAAAATATTCCAACTTGTTGGGACAAAGTAAACTGCCACCTTTTTTTCCCCCCTTGCCAGTTCTAGGGCTTGAACTGTGGGCATGGTCACTGCCCCTGAGCTTTTCTGCTCATGGCTAGTGCTCTAAACTTGAGCCATGGTTCTACTTCTGGCTTTCTGGAGGTTAACTGGAGTTAAGAGTCCCAGGCTACCTTTGAATGGCAACCTTCAAATCTCAGCCTCCTGAGTAGCTAGAATTACAGGCATGAGCCACCCGAACCTAGTCCAAATTCTATTTTTAAACTATCATGAAAACTTGATTTTGGGGCTGGGAATGTGGTAGAGGGGTAGTGTTTGTCTAGCATGCATAAATCCCTGAGTTGGATTCCTCAATACCACATAAACAGAAAAAGCTGGAAGTGGAGCTGTGGCACAAACAAAAGCAGTTCAGGGACAGTCCCCAGCCCAGGCCTTGAGTTAAACCCCAGGACTGGCAAAAACAACCTTGGTTTTTGTCACACCAATGAAATATCACCACTGACTGTGGTGATATCATGTGAATCACAGAACATTTTAAAGTCAGCTTGTTTTTATTTAAAAAAGAAAATGGACAGAGTTGGGAAGGTGGCTCAGTGGTAGAGTGCTTGCCTCCCATGCATGAGGCCCTGGGTTCCATTCCTCAGCACCACATAAAACAGAAAAGGCCAGAAGTGGCACTGTCACTCAAGTGGTACAGAACCAGCCTTAAGCTGAAGAGCTCAGAGACAGCACCCTGACCTAGAGTTCACGCCCCATGACCAACTGAAAAAAAAAGAAAGAAAACGGATTATCAGGTTAAAGTGAAGCAGTTACAGCCAAGCACCAGTGTAATCCTAGCTACTCAAGGCTGAAACCTGAAGATGACGGCTGGAAGCCAGCTCCGGGAAGAAAATCCCCTGACTCTTTAACTAACTACTCAAAAACCGGAAGTGGAGTCGGGCGCCGGTGGCTCACGCCTGTAAGCCTAGCTACCCAGGAGGCTGAGATCTAAGGATCACGGTTCAAAACCAGTTCAAAGCCAGCCCGGGCAGGAAAGTCCGTGAAACTCTTATCTCCAATAAACCACTAGAAAACCGGAAGTGGCGCTGTGGCTCAAGGGGTAGAGCGCTAGCCTTGAGCTGAAGAGCTGAGGGACAGCGCCCAGGCCGAGTTCAAGCTCCAGGACCGACTAAAAAAAAAAAAGCTCAGGAACAGTGCCTAGACCCTGAGTTCAAGCCCCATAGGGGACTGACCAAAAAAAAAAAGGGAGGGAGGAGGAGGGGGAGGGAAGGAGGGAAGTGGGAGGGGAAGGAGGGGAGGGGGCAGATGATCCCAAAATTTTGGGTCCGGTCGTGGGGCCTGAACTCTGAGCTTTACCACTTGAGCCACAGCGCCACTTCCGGCTTTTTTCTTTTTTGCTTATGTGGTGCTGAGGAATTGAACCCAGGGCCTCAGGTATGCAAGGCAAGCGCTCTACCACTGAGCCACCTTCCCAGCCCCGAGCAGCCCAATTTTTAAGAACACTTCATTCTAATTTGAACGCAGAAACATTTCCCAAGATTCCGAGCGGCCATTCACCTAAGGCTCCGCCTCCTTCTTAGCATAAACCTGTTTACTCATCCGCCGCCCCGCCCTCAACAGTCGAGCCTAAAAAGACATTTTTCGGTCGGTGAAATACGCAAACCGCAATTTCTCGGGTGGAAGAAGAAAAAAAAAAAAAAGCCCACGGTTAAAAGCCAAGTGCTCACTCGTCTGCCTCACACGGTCGTCAGGAAACACATGGCTCAGCTCTCTCCGACTCACATCTCTTTGTGTACACGCCCAAGTTTCTGGAAAGCCTCAACGTTTAGCCCACCGAGCCCCTAACCCACAAAGACCAGCGAAGCGGCCGCTCTGGAGCCTTCGCTCCCTCCCTGACACACAAGCGCCTACACCTGCCCCCTACACGCTGGCTCTCGCGACGCCGCCGACAGTGGATCTCGGAAGGCCGCGGGCTCTCGGGAAAACCACTCTCTAACGCGTGTGGGAAAAAAAAAAAAAAGAACGGAAAACTCGCTGCCTCGTCTCGGCTGTACTAAGGCCTACCACACAAAAGCTACTCCAATACTCACTGCCTGTGCCGGTCGCCATTTTGGCCTCGTACTCATTAACGCAGCGAGAGACGGTCGGTACGGCCGAACTCCGGGGACTCTGGGAAATAAAATAACGGCGTTTGTTCGCGATGCCTCCTGGGAAATGTAGTTCTTTTTTTCAAGAGGAAGCGGACAACTCCAGTTTTTCCGTTCGCTTCCGGAAATAAGTGCTGTTAAGGAAGTGCCAATGATGGCACTGAAGCGTCAGAACGCCCTTGAGGCTTTTTAACGAAAGAAATGTGTGGCGTTCAGGATAACCGCGTAAGCACGAGGCCCTGAGTCCACAGCTAAAAACAACAACAAAACAATCCGGAGACGAATCCTTCCTAGGTGAAAACGCTAACCCGGATGTACTTTTGAGGTCAGAGGTCAAACTGAACAAACGGTCTCTTTCCCTAACCCCTCCCACTTTCCTCACGCTGATTGGGAACCGCAGGTTTTGCTTTCTGATTGGCTGAACGAACTGCGCGCGTACTTTAAAACATTGTATCAGAAACAAAGCTGCCCCTCGTGGGCGGAGTTGATCTCTCTCCCAGCGAAAGTTCGGGTTCCGCCAAGGGCTGGGAGTTGGTACCAGGGAAGCAGCGAAGATCCTGTCTCCTGGTAAGTGTGCGGATGCGCTATAACCCAGTTTATCAGCTCCTGCTCCTGTGGAATAGGCATTCAGAGAGCGGAGCAGCAGCGCTCTCTCTCTCTCTCTCTCTCTCTCTCTCTCTCTCTCTCTCTCTCTCTCTCTCTCTCTCTCTTCTTAATACTCATACTTTCTATGTGAACCTTGGAGTGAGTCTGGGAAAAGATCCTAGGGATGCTAACACCACCTCCACAACACTGCTTGCCAGACACCCACCCTCTTTGGAGCGTGGCCTTCTGCTTTGAAAGCCAGTTAACTCTTGATACCTGTTCGCATTTAGAAATGCGACGCTGATCTGCGGACTGGTTTGTTCCTCTCATCCCCATCCCCTTTGCAGATAATGGAGGTGAATAGAGTTGAAATTCAGGCAGCAGGACCGGGTCATGAGGCACCTATAGTTCGCATCTATAATTGTTAATTTTCTTTTCCTTACTCTTGTTTCTTTTTAGACGTAGGCCTTTTCCTACTGTCATGTCTCAAGGCATCCTCTCCCCGCCGGCAGGCTTGCTGTCCGATGAGGATGTCGTAGTATCTCCTATGTTTGAGTCCACAGCTGCAGATTTGGGATCTGCAATGCATAAGAAACTGTTGTCAGACTGCTCTGTCATTTCCACCTCCTTGGAGGACAAACAGCAGGTAAAAGAGTTGGAGTGTGACCCTCAGCCTAATAGTTATGCATACATCTAATAGAAGATCAAAGATCTGTAATCCTGATAATGTGGGAGAACAATTCAAATTTAAAGGTCTGACAAGAAGAAAACATACGGTGTGTTTATAAAAGTAACTATTACTTGTATTATATTAATGCAGTACCCTCAAGTGCATGTTCAGTCTTGAGAGTAGAATAATCATATCTCATGGAGCCTATTTTTGTTATGTAACTTGTATAGGGCTGAAAGATGTAGCTTAATGGTAGAATCTATGCTGACCGTTTGTGAAGCCCAAGTTCAAATCCCAGCACATAAACAAAAAATTATTTGCAGAGCCATAACATGCAGCATTCATAACATTCAAACATTCATGTTTTAGTAATATCAATCATAGTTTCTATTTAGCCCCTCTTTCTGTGTTGCTAGTGTTTCTCAGCTGTAGCATGATTAATATTTGGGGGCCAATTCTTTGTATTCAGGGGTTGTCCTGTGCTTGTAGGATGCTTAGTAGCATTTCTGGCCTCAAACCACCAGATGTCAGTGATACCTTCCCGCTTGTTCTAATGTCCCCTAGAGGGTGGGAAATGGCAATAGTTGAAAACCACTGTACTATGTCATGTGTTAAAGTTAACTTATATTGGTTACATCTTTTTCCTCTCTTAGAATCTCCTTCATGAATCTCTTTCATGAACACAGGACCCTTGAAAATATCTTTCACTAGAACCACTAAAGCCTCTTAACATTCCTAAGCCATAGTAGGCATTCTAAATATCTATTGAATGAATGAGATGGATGCTATTATTAACCTCATTCTTTAGATAAGAAAACTAAAGCAGGAGCTGGGGATATGGTTTAGTGGTAGAATGCTTGCCTAGCATGCATGAGGCCCTGGGTTCAATTCCTTCATACCACATACATAAAATTTTAACTAAGAAAAAGAGAAAAACTAAGGTAAAGAAAAAAAAATTTTTTTTGGGTCCGGTCATGGGGCCTGAACTCTGGGCCTGGGCGCTGTCCCTCAGCTCTTCAGCTCAAGGCTAACGCTCTACAACTTGAGCCACAGCGGCACTTCTGGCTTTTTTCTTTTTTGCTTATGTGGTGCTGAGGAATCGAACCCAGGGCCTCATGCATGCAAGGCAAGCGCTTTACCACTGAGCCACCTTCCCAGCCCCTTAAAGAAAATTTTAAAGTCTTATAGTTCCTAGACGGAATTGGGAGTCAAAGTCAGGTGTGTTCTACTATGTTGTACTGTGCTTTGTTGAAATGTCACATGTTGATTTTTATATAGTCAATGAGTTCTAACTCAGATATTTAATAGGGCAAGCCAGGTTTTCAGGATAATGAGGAAATAAGGAAAGGTAACAAAGAAGAGCTCATGTGGGTTGACATGATTGTGTAATCAAAGGATACTTGCATTCAGTTGGAATGGGCCATGTTAGCATGATTTCTAGGAACTATGCCTTGTGCCATTTGCTCAGAGGTAACTTCTAAGATTAATCTGTAGTTTCTGTCTGGAATTTTGCTACAGGTTCTGTGTGAGGATAATACAGAGAAGGTAAAAGTATACCTCCGAGTCAGGCCCTTGTTACCTTCAGAGTTAGAAAGACATGAGGATCAGGTAAGTGTTTAAAGAAGGATTTAAGGAGGAATGATGAAGTACATAAGAAATTACCCAGGAATATTTCCTTCAGTGGTAACATTTTCCCCTTCCCAGGGCTGTGTACGTATTGAGAATTTGGAGACCCTTGTTCTGCAAGCACCTAAGGATTCATTTGCTCTAAAGAGCAATGAGCGGGGAATTGGCCAAGCCACTCATAGGTTCACATTTTCTCAGGTATGGATATACTGATCTATGAAAACTGATCAACATTTAAAAACAACTTTTATTTATCTTTTTGTGCTGGTATTAGGGCTTGAAATCTGGGCATGAATGCTGTCCCGTACCTTTTTTGCTCAAGGATGGCACTATGGCACTATACTACTAGAGTCACAACTCCACTTCTAGGTTTTGCTGGTTAATTGGAGTTAAGAGTCTCAGGAGCTTTTCTGCCCAAGCTGGCTTCCAGCTACGATCTTCAGATCAATCAGATTAAACTGTGATCCTCAGATGGCACTCAGATATAACATGTGTGAACATGCATGCAAGTCCATCCTAGGGCTTGAACTCAAGAGAGCCTGGACACTGTCTTGGAGTTTTGTTGTTGTTGTTGTTTGGCCAGTCTTGGGGCTTGAACTCAGGATCTGGGCACTATCCCTATGCTTCTTTTGCTCAAGGCTAGCACTCTACCACTGGAGCCATAGCACCACTTCCAGCTTTTTCTGTTTATGTGATACTGGGAAATAGAACCCAGGGCTTCATGTATGCTACCACTAAGCCACATTCCCAACCTATCTTGGAGATTTTTTTTTTTTGCTCAAAGCTAAAGCTCTACCAGTTGAGCTACAGCTCCACTTCTGGCTTTTCTTTTCTTTTCTTTTTTGTGAATTAAAGATAAGAGTCTCACATGGGCTTTCCTGCTCAGGCTGAGTTCAAATTCTCAGATCTCAGCCTCCCGAGTAGCTAAGATTGTAGGCATGGTCCACTGACACCCAGCTCAACTTTCGAGTGACTTTTCTAGTGGGCTGTTAATCTATGTCAAGTACTTTTTTGCACTTAGTCTTAAAAATTCTGTTGTTATCCCTATTATTCGTATTTTCCCAACAAGGATACTATAACTCAGCAAAGGTATTATTGTTAAGCCATAGAGCTTAGCCAATGTTAGAGCTATGAATGGAGACCCATCCGTCTCCAAAGCCCACAGTTACAGCCATTATATTGCCCACATTGTATATGCAGGTTTAGGATTAGTTTATAGCATTGTCTAAGTGCTTGTTGATTTGGATAAAAGATGGACTTACAAAGTGTTTGAGTACTCAATGTTTAGGAACAGCTGAAGAGAAAGCTTTATCTAAAGAGCAGAAAGTACCTACTTGAATGGTCTTCAGAGCCAACCACCCAAAAAGATTTATTTGCTGGCTCTTATAGGAGACATGTGGGAGATAAAGGATGGACTCTGAAACCAGGTTACACTGGTGACTCACACTTGTTATCCTAGCTACTCAGGAGGCCAGGATCTGAGAATTGTGGTTCAAGCTAGAGTACACAGAGAAAGTCTATGAAACTTATCTCCAATTAACTACCAAAAATCTGGAAGTAGAGCTATAGTTCAAGTAATAGAGCAATAGCAAAAAAAGTTCAGGGCTGGGCACTGGTGGCTCAGGCCTGTAATCCTAGCTACTTAGGAGGCTGAGATCTGAAGACTGCAGTTTAAAGCTAGCCTCAGCAGGAAAGTCCATGAGACTCTTATCTCCAATTAACCACCAGAAAACCAGAAGTGGCACTGTGGCACAAGTGGTAGAGCATTTACCTTGCGCTAAAGAGCTGAGGGACAGCGCCCAGGTCCAGAGTTCAAGCCCCAGGACTGGCACACACACACAAAAAAGATGGCCTCTGAGAAACTTGGATGTGTTTCTAGATATTTGGGCCAGAAGTAGGACAGGCAAACTTCTTCAACCTGACTGTGAAGGAGATGGTAAAGGATGTACTCAAAGGACAGAACTGGCTCATCTATACGTACGGAGTTACCAACTCAGGGAAAACCCACACGATTCAAGGTAAGTGGTAAGAATTCACAGAATTTATTTATTGTGCTGGCACTGGGGCTTGAACTCAGGGTTTAGGCACTGCCCTTTAGCTTTTTTTTTTCACTCTACCACTTGAGCCAAAACTCTACTCTTGACTTTTTTCGTGGTTAATTGCAGATAAGTGTCTCACAGACTTTCCTGCCTTGGCTGGCTTTGACCCATGTTCCTCAGATCTCAACATACTGAGTAGTTAGGATTACAAGTGTGAGCCCCAGCACCTGATTCACCAGTTTTCTGGTTTGCATGTAATAATGGTCTTTACCTTTTAATACCCTGAGTTATGAAGAGAAAGAGACTTGCTTCAGCTGTCCATCTTTCCTCTGACCCTAGGTACCATCAAGGATGGAGGAATCCTTCCCCGGTCACTAGCTCTGATCTTCAATAGCCTCCAGGGACAACTTCATTCAACACCTGATCTGAAGCCATTGCTCTCCAATGAGGTAATCTGGCTAGACAGCAAGCAAATTCGACAGGAGGAAGTGAAAAAGATGTCCTTGCTAAATGGAGGCCTCCAAGAGGTGAAGTGTTGGTATGCATGAAGGTAGGGAGGAGTAAGGGGTACACATCTCAGGAAAGTTTTTGTGCTTACTTTCTCTCTGTTCTCCAGGAGGAGCTATCTACTTCCTTGAAGAAGAATGTCTACATTGAAAGTCGGATGGGTACTAGCACCAGTTTTGATAGTGGCATTGCTGGGCTCTCTTCAAGCAGTCAGTTTACTAGCAGTAGCCAGCTGGATGGTATGTATTAGGTCTGGGTTCTATGCCAGTAATAGTAGGGACATACTCCCTGTTCCCTACAGGTCTATAAGGGTTGCAGACCAAAGGTTGCAATATTAGGTTCCATTTTATGAGATGGATTGCTCTAGGGTTAAAAAGACTCTACATTGGCTTCTTCCTCAGAAACAAGTCAGCGGTGGGCACAGCCAGACACTGCCCCAGTTAGTGTCCCAACAGACATTCGCTTCTCTATCTGGATCTCCTTCTTTGAGATCTACAATGAACTGCTATATGACCTGTTAGAACCACCTAGCCCACAGCGTAAGAGGCAGACTCTACGGCTGTGTGAAGATCAAAATGGCAATGCTTATGTAAAAGGTATGTGAATATGAGGGAGGCTACAGAAACTCTGGAAGGGATGTGGAAACTAGGGAAGGAATTGAGTGTTCCTGCCTTATATCTTTCTCTCCTTTGGCTCCAGATCTCAATTGGATTCATGTTCGAGATGCTGAAGAAGCTTGGAAACTCCTCAAAGTCGGTCGTAAGAACCAGAGCTTTGCCAGCACCCACCTAAATCAGAACTCTAGCCGAAGGTGAGTTATAAAAATAAACCCTTCACTGTATCTGGGGAACTTTAGTTTTCTGCTTGGTTATGGAAGGGATGCAACTGACTTTTCTCTTTTTCTTAACTTTTAGTCACAGTATCTTCTCAATCCGAATTCTGCACCTTCAAGGGGAAGGAGATATGATCCCCCAAATCAGCGAGTAAGTTTTTATTCTAAGACATTTTGGCCACTTAGTAGTTGTGGGAGTAGAGGAGAGGTCTTCAGAGGAATTACTTGTTCTCTCTCACATATAGATTCCCAATAGGCCCTCCCTTCTCCAGAACTTATGATGGGCTAGCTTATTCACACAAGGTTCTTATGACAGACACTGGGCATCATCATTCTAGGTTGTCACTCTGTGATCTGGCTGGCTCAGAGCGCTGCAAAGATCAAAAGAGTGGTGAACGGCTAAAGGAAGCAGGGAACATTAACACATCTCTACACACCCTGGGCCGTTGTATTGCTGCCCTTCGCCAAAACCAGCAGAACCGGTAAGCTGTGAGGTGGGAAGGCTGGGAGGCTGGTCAATTTGCTAAGACTTACTGGTCGTCAATGGGGATGGTGCTGGGATACTCAGAGAATAAGTTCTGCTCATAAATCTATGTTCCTGATTCTTTGTCAGGTCTAAACAGAACCTGGTTCCCTTCCGTGACAGCAAGTTGACTCGAGTGTTTCAGGGCTTCTTCACAGGTAGAGGCCGTTCCTGCATGATTGTCAATATCAATCCCTGTGCATCTACCTATGATGAGACACTGCATGTGGCTAAATTTTCAGCCATTGCTAGCCAGGTGAGAATCTTTGGATGTGAGATGCCTGCTTTGAGTTGGTAACTTCATGAAAGCTATTAAAAACTATTTAAGAAGTTAATGTGGCTTTTTTTGTTGTTGTTGTTTTTGGGCTTTTTTTCCCCCCTCGTCTAGCTTGTACATGCCCCGCCTATGCATCTGGGACTCCCATCCCTGCGTTCATTCATCAAAGAGCACAGTCTTCAAGCATCATCTGGCTTAGAAAAAGGGAGTAAGGCAGACCTAGGTCTTGATGACCACATTGAAAATGAAGCTGACATCTCTGTATATAGCAAGGAGGTAAGAATACAAGAAAGTTTTTGTGAATAACTACTCAAATTTTATTACCAATCCTGTCAGAAAATGTGAGACTATTTCCAAAATACCCAGCAAAAGGCTGGTCTGGAGGCATGACTCAAAGGGTAAAACACCAGCCAAACAAGCAAGCTAAGCAAGAACGAGGCCTTGACTACAAACCTTAAAACTGCAAAAAAAAAAAAAAAATTATGGCAGCTGAGTATCAGTGGCTCACACCTGTAATCCTTTCTACTCAAGAGGCTGAGATCTGAGGATCAAAGCCAGCCTGGGCAGAAAAGTCCCTGTGAGACGTATCTCTAACTAACTATTCAAAAACCAGATGTGGAGCTGTGGCTCAAGAGATACAGAGCACTGGGGCTGGGAAGGTGGCTCAGTGGTAGAGCGCTTGCCTTACATGCCTGAGGCCCTGGGTTCGATTCCTCAGCACCACATAAGCAGAAAAGAAAAGCTGGAAGTGGGGCTGTGGCTCAAGTGGTAGAGCGCTAGCCTTGAGCTGAAGAGCTGAGGGACAGAGCTCAGGCCCAGAGTTCAGGCCCCACGACCGGACCCCCCAAAAAAAAAAAAGAGATACAGAGCACTAACCTTGAGCACAAAAAGGCTCAGGAACAGTGCAGCAGCTTCCTGACTACACACTCCATACAGCCTTTGGGCTTTACCTATTTGGAACATAGGCAATTTATGATTTCTGACACGTTGTTCCTAGGAGCTCCTTCAGGTGGTAGAAGCTATGAAAACACTGCTTTTTAAAGAACGACAGGAAAAGTTGCAGCTGGAGATGCAGCTCCGTGATGAAATTTGTAATGAGATGGTAGAACAGATGCAACAACGGGAACAGTGGTGCAGGTACAGTACCTTCTGAGTGATCCCTCTACGTTAACTGGCAGAAGGCAGAAATAGGTACTAGGATGAAGTTGTGCGTCAAGTGTTCTCCAGTTCATTCCCTAGAATCTTCACTCACTTCTTTCCTCCTGACAGTGAACATTTGGATGCCCAAAAGGAACTATTAGAAGAAACATATGAAGAGAAACTAAAGATCCTTAAGGAATCACTAACAACTTTTTACCAAGAAGAGATTCAAGTGAGTTGTCCTGAACCTATCCAAACTAGTTGTTCAGATTTATTTCCATCACTAGATTGCCTCACATAAGCAGATTTTATAAACTGGTTAAGTGCAGGTATATATAATTCACTTTGCTAGGTAGGTGTTCCATCTTTGCTTAGTTAATCAAGGAAAAGGCAAAAATGACTAACAAAAAGCATTTTGAGGCTTAAATTAACCGTTAAGGATTTTATTCATTTGTTCAACATCTGGTCCTGCAGTATATGATATATAGAATTGTATTCTCTTCTTTCCTCTTAGGAGCGGGATGAAAAAATTGAAGAGCTAGAAGCTCTCTTGCAAGAAACCAGACAACAGCAGGCTGTGACTCATCAACAGTCAGGACATGAATTGTCCCTGCGACGGTCACAGAGGTTGGCAGCTTCTGCCACCACACAGCAGCTCCAGGAGGCTAAAACTAAACTAGAACAATGCAAAGCAGAGCTAAGCTCCACCACTGAAGGTGAGGAAGGGAAGGAGGCAGGAAGCATGATAGTGCTTCGGGGAAAGACATGGCATTCAAACCTAGGTCTTTGTTTCCTTTGGTGGTACTGGGGATTGAATTTAGGGCCTTTACCTGTCAGAAGGCCTAAGTTTGACAGGCTCATGGCTCCCATAGGAGAATACCTGCTTGACTCCCAACAAAATTTTGTGCAACATTCACTCTAGGATGCATTTGACCTCTTTTGTGCACACACATGCTCATAGCCTACAAACTATTCCTTAGCTTTTTTGCTCGACTGGTGCTCTACCACCTGAGCCACAGCTGTATTTCCAGCTCTTCTCTGGTTAATTGGAGACGAGCTCACAGACTTTCCTGCCTAGGCTGGCTTTGAATGGTGACTCTTACATTTCAGCCTCCTGAATAGCTAGGACTATAGGTGTAAACCACCAGTGCCTGGCTTGACCTCACTCTTAAAATTTGGTATAAGCTACTGTTAACTCAGTCTGGGAAGCTTGGCACTGGTAATTCATGCCTAAAATTCTAACTACTCAGGAGGCTGAGATCTGAAGATCTGTGTTCAAGGCAAGCACTCTACCACTGAGCCACCTTCCCAGCCTAGGAATGAAGGGCCATAAGAATATTTCAAACAGGGCTGGGAAGGTGGCTCAGTGGTAGAGCACTTGCCTTGCATTCCTGAGGCCCTGGGTTCGATTCCTCAGCACCACATAAGCAAAAAGAAAAAAAAGCCAAAAGTGGTGCTGTGGCTCAAGTGGCAGAGCGCTAGCCTTGAGCTGAAAAGCTGAGGGACAGCGCCCAGGCCCAGAGTTCAGGCCCCACGACCGGACCTCCCCCAAAAAAAAAGAAAAAAAAAAAAAGAATATTTCAATCACCAAAAAGCTGCAAGTAGACTACACTGTGTCTCAAGTGGTATATGAGCAAAAAAGTTAAACTCAGGCCCTGAACTTGAGCCCCAGGACTGGCACATGCACATAAAAGGTAAGTCCAAAGCTGAAAATTCCACACATTCAAGTTTCCTGTTTCCCTCCCTCAGAGCTACAGAAGTACCAAAAAATGTTAGAACCACCACCCTCAGCCAAACCTTTCACAAGTGATGTGGACAAGAAGTTAGAGGAAGGCCAGAAGGTAATTTCCTTTCTCAGTTCTTTCTCAAAGTTCTTACCTAAGACAACCTCTAAAGTATAACGCTCTTATATCAGTTCATGTGAGTACAAGGTGTTTTTTTTCCCCCAGTCCTGGGGAATGGTTTACCTTTCCTTCCTAATTATACTTTTCTTGAAATGGCTTTCCACCAGAATCACTATTCTAGTTGGTATTAGTCACAATCTTATTCCTACTTTCTCAGAACATACGGCTGCTGCGATCAGAACTTCAGAAAGTTGGCCAGTCTCTCCAATCAGCAGAAAGGGCCTGTTGCCACAGCACTGGAGCAGAAAAACTTCGTCAAGCTTTTACCACTTGTGATGACATCTTAATCAAACAGGTAAGGGCAGTCTGTTATCCTCTTCCATCCCCCACCCCTCCCTACCTCCTCTACTTCTTTCTGCTTCCTCCAATGCTATGTGAAAAAGGGAATGAAGAGGATGGAAAAAGATTTTCAGGTGGAACTTATAGTTAGAGGAGTTTTGGGGTTTTTTTTTGGTCGGTCATGGGGCTTGAACTCTGCACCTGGGCGCTGTCCTGGAGCTCTTCAGCTCAAGGCAAGCACTCTACCACTTGAGCCACAGCACCACTTCCGGTTTTTATTGGAGATAAATCTTCTTGCCTGGGCTGGCTTTGAACCGCGATCTGCAGATCTCAGCCTCCTGGATAGCTAGGATTACAGGCCTGAGCCACTGGTACCTAGCAAGAGTTACTCTTTCTTGCAAAATAAAAATAATCTTTGTTCAGTGTATACTTACCAGGAAGTCTATGCCAAGTGATATTATAGGCACTTGATTGGGAGGCAGATATTATCATACTTTGTTGATCATACTACTATTTTATGTATTAATTAGAAAAAAAGTAACAAGCTGTGACAAACTGTCTTTTTAACCCAGAGCAAGGACTCTACCTGAGCTATATTCAGCCTAGTATGTTTCTTGCCAGTAAGATGCATCCTACCTTCAGGATCTTAAAATGTGAAAGAAAAATGACTAGGCAGCATTTGATATCTTGAGACTAAGGCTCTTTTAAGTTTACACAAACTCTGAAGTGCATACTACATTATGTGTTAGGAAATATCACTGTTCAGCACTGCTTATATCTAGGAATCAAAATATACACCATTCAGTTACAATCATCTTTGAAGACACAAAATACTAACATATATCATACACCTCGATTCTTCTCCTTGCTGGGATTTGAAATCAGGGCCTAGTGCATGTTAGGTGTTCTATTACAGGAGGCATGCCCCAAGCTTACCTTGCTCTTATTTCTGTAATGTAGAAGACAGAAATGTTTTCTCTAACTTTGCTCATGTCCCTTAGGACCAGACCCTGGCTGAGCTGCAAAATAACATGATGCTAGTGAAACTGGACCTTCGGAAGAAGGCAGCATGCATTGCTGAGCAGTATAATACTGTCCTAAAGCTACAAGGCCAGGCTTCTTCTGCCAAAAAACGCCTTGGTGTCAACCAGGAAAACCAACAACCAGATCAACAACCACCAGGGAAGAAACCATTCCTTCGAAACTTACTTCCCCGAACACCCACCTGCCAAAGCTCAACAAACTGCAGTCCTTATGCTCGGATTTTACGCTCAAGGCACTCTCCTTTACTCAAATCTGGGCCCTTTGGCAAAAAATACTAAGGCTATAGGGAAGAGAAATACAGCTATTGCCCTGAAGTGGAACAATTGCTCAGCCTAATACTCTTAAGCTTTGCCATATACTTGGAACTTTATCCAGAATGTAATACTCAGATACTATTTTTTCCTCTTTTGTATTATAATCACCTATATAATCTCATTCTTTTCACATATGGTTTTTATGCACACAAAAATTTAAATATATTATTGTTCACATTTTTATTTGAATTCCAAATTTAGCAAAAACATTAAAGCAACTTTTAAAAAAAGACAGAAAAATTGACACAAACTTCATTTTATTCTAGCTAATGGGAATCTTGCACAGGAATAGCAATAGAAACCAGACACTAAAATAACTAGTGAAAGAAGGCTTAATAAGAAATGAATCCAAATGTCACTAGATAGTCTTAAGCTTTTAATATAAAATGAAGTATCACACATTAAAAGGTGAGTAAAAATGTTCAAGGAACAACACAAGGCTGGATCCTAAGCTCAGAATAATCCATAGCATCTCTTGTATAAATTCATTACAACAGACAAATAGCATATTATCTACTGAACACATGCACAGGCCTGAAACCCTCAATGAGCACCATAACAATGATTCCCATATGGTCTAAACAAATAGGGCTGGGGAAAAAAAAAAAGTATTAGAGATAAGAAAAACAGACCAGCATGAACACTTACTTTTACCTATAGTTATTTTCGAATGTCCATGAAATTATCTGTAATCCTGGAAATGGAGCAGTAGCTCAACTGGTATAGAGTGCCAGCCTTGAGCAGAAAAAGCCAAGTGAGTGTGAGGCCCAGAGTTCAAGCCTCAGTATTAACACAAAAAAGACTATTCCTGCCGGGCGCTGGTGGCTCACACCTGTAATCCTAGCTACTCAGAAGGCTGAGATCTGAGGTGGCTCATGCCTGTAATCCTAGTGACTCAGGAGGCTGAGATCTGAGGATCGAGGTTCAAAGCCAGCCCAGGCAGGAAAGACTGTGAGTCCTATCTCCAATAAACCACTAGAAAACCGGAAGTGGCACTGTAGCTCAAGCAGTACAGTGCTGGCCTTGAGCTGAAGAGTGCAGGGACAGCACCCAAGCCCAAAGTTCAAGCCCCACGACCCACAAAAAAAAAAAAAAAAAAAAAAAAGACTATTCCTCTTTTCTTGTCCTGTCTTAGTAAGGGTATAGCTAATACCTTAAATACCTTTGCCCTAGGAAAAATCCATCAATAGTTCAGTGTTCTATTCAATCCTAAATTATTCCCAATTTGAAAGCTTCTAGAAAACTTTTCAAAGGTGTTTCAAAGAACATTTTGTAGAGTAAGAACACATGTACAGATCTACTATGTAAATGTAATCAGCATCAAAATAGAGATTATGCTCAACCAATTCACAAGGTATTATCTTGACACTGGCCAATGCCTGTAATCCCAACACTAGGGAGGCTTAGACTGGAGGACCAAGTTGAGGCCAGCCTGGGCAATTTAGTGAGACCTTGTCTCAAATAGCAAAAACAAAACAAAGGCCAGGTTTGGTCATACCTGTAATCTTGGCTACTCAGGCTAAAATCTTTAATATGAAGCCAGTAACTAGCCATGGCAGCCAAATCTAATAGACTTTTCTTTCCAATTAACCAGCAGTCAGTTGTGGCTCAAGTGGTAGAGTGCCAGCTTTGAGTAAAAAAGCTAAGCAAGAGCTTGAGACTCTGGGCCCTGAGTTTAAGCCCAAGAGCCAGCCCAAAAAAGAATCCTCCAAAATTAAAAACTCATTTTTGTCTAATGCAGAACTCTGCCTCTGCTTGACCTACTCCCTGCCCAAGAAGGTGGAGTGATAGATTCATCTCATGTCTACCCCATTCCCAGCAGCATTGAAACTTGTTCTTGTAGGATGGCCTGTGCTAAAGTGCTATACAAGGGATGTTTTCGTGAGTGGAGGGGAGGCCCTGGAAAAAAGCCAAGAACTATAGCAACTCTGAATAGGGAAGAGTGAAGTGCTTCTAACTAACAAAAGACAAGTATCTGTTCTGCCCCTGAAGGTATATAAACTCCCTAAAGCTATTTTCATCTGTAGAAATGAAAACAGCTAAGGTCCTTGGGAAAATAGACATGGCCATTCCTTACTTAAAGCTTAAGCAAAATGTGCTGACTTAGGTAATTATGGTGTGACTGAAGACAAGTTGAGTGGAGAAACTCTGCGGGTGGGCGTATTGTTAGCAGACAGTGAAGCTGGGAGGAAGAAGGGAGCAGGCATCTCAGTTGTGGGAGTCTCCCCTTGGTTCCGAAGCTGTAGGATTTGTCGGAGCAAGGCCTTACCTTCTTCTCGGGTCTGAAATAAAGTCAGGCAATTGTTTCAAAATATATCCAAGGCTATTCTCAAAAACAGGCTATTAAAAATACTGTTAAATGGATAATTGAGTTAGGCAGACCAAAGTAGGTTTTTAAATCAGGCATGGTGGTACATCTGTAATCTCAACCCTTAGAACTAAATCAGGAAGATTACATGTTCATGGCCAACCTGGGTTACATAAAGTTATAGAATAGCCCAGGCTATATAAGCAAGACTCTATTCCTAAGGGGTGGAGAGAATCCGCAAGCTCCAGTGACCTCATGGATAAGGCACTGGCCTCCTAAGCCAGGGATTGTGGGTTTGGGTTCCACCTGGGTAAAGTTACTTAAGAAAAAACAAAACAAAAAAAACCTCGTGGCTCCCGCCTGTAATCCTAGCTCCTCAGGAGGCTGAGATCTGAGGATCACAGTTTAAAGCCAGCCCAGGAAAGAAACTCCAAGCAAGAAACTCCGTGAGATTCTTATCTCCAATAAACAAGTAGGAAACTGGAAGTGGCGCTGAGGCTCAAGTGGTAGAGCACTCGCCTTGAGCTGAAGAGCTGAGGGAAGTAACCAGGCTGAGACTTCAAGCCCCATGACTGACAAAACAAAAAACAAAAACTCAGTACCATAAAAAATTTAAAAACATAAAAAGGAAAGGCTTCCTACTGATTTTTCTTTTTGTCATGGGACTTGAACTCAAGGCATGGGCACTGTCCCTGAGCTCTCTTGCTAAAGGCTAAGCATGCTACCATTTTGAACCACAGCATCACCTCTGGTTTTCTGGCAGTTAACTGAAGATAAGAAACTCACATAGGGGCTGGGAAGGTGGCTCAGTGGTAGAGTGCTTGCCTTGCATGCCTGAGGCCCTGGGTTTGATTCCTCAGCACCACATAAGCAAAAAGAAAACAAAGCCGGAAGTGGATCTGTGGCTCAAGTGGTAGAGCGCTAGCCTTGAGCTGAAGAACTGAGGGACAGCGCCCAGGCCCAGAGTTCAGGCCCCACGACCGGACCCAAAAAAAAAAAAAGAAACAGTCTTTCTTGCACAGGCTGACTTGAACTGTGATTCCCACACTGCAGCCTCCTGAACAGGATTACAGGAGTGAGCCACCAGTGCCCCACACTAGTAACATTCTTATCCACCTTCCCACATCATGGGGGTGTATGTGTATTCCAGGCTTACTTAGCCAGGTACCCGTGGCTTACACCTATAATTCTAGCTACTCAGGAAGCTGATATCTGAGGAAGACAGTCAGAAAGCAGCCCAGACAGGAAAATTAACCAGCAAAAAGCTATGAAGCTGTGGCTCAAGTAAAGAGTGCTACACTTAAGCAAGAAAGCTAAAGAATAGCACCTCAGTTCAAGCCCCAGCACATACACATGCATGCACACACACACACACACACACACACACACACACACACACACACACACACAAACACACACACACACACGCATACACGTGCACATGCATGCACACACACATACACATGCACACGCACAGATATACAAATGACACGTTAGCCTAAAATCCAAACCCCTTACTAAGGAACTGATACATACATCATTGAATGCACAACATTTCTGGGCACAAGTTGAAGCTTCATCCCATAGCTTGCACTTAAAATAGTACTGGGCCAGATAGCGGAAAGCAGTGCTTTCCTCCAAGTGTTCCACTATTTCCTAGATAAGGATAATAGGAATGAGTGAGTGATAAGATTAAAGTCAGTAAAACAATTCCCATGCTATCACACATACCCCACAGGAATAGATATCTTGGATATATTTGATGTAACACTGGGCAGCCTGTTCCGACTCAGTCAACTGTTCATGAAGCCTACAAAAGAAATTACGAAGCAACTTAAGTATTAAAAAGTAAAAACATGATTAAGACACACACACAAAAATCACAATACCTAAACAAGTATAATTTTTCACAAAAATAACAAAATTGAGACCCACAAGACTTTTAGTGCCCAGCAGATAGTTACTATTAGAAAGATTAGAAACAAGACTGTGGTTCAAATGATAGAGCACCTGCCTAAGCAAACTGGAGGCACTAGGGCTGGGAAAGTAGCTCAGCGGTAGAGTGCATGCCTTGCAAACTGGAGGCACTGGGTTCAATCACCAGTACCAGGGGTGAGAAGGGGCAGGAGGATCTGAATTTCAGAATCTCTTAAGCCTAGTACTGGTGGCTCACACCTATAATCCTAGCTACACAGCAGGCTGAAATCAGGGGGTCACAGTTCAAAGCTAGCCTGGCCAGAAAAGTCTAATCACTAGAAAACCAGAAGTCACACCATGGCTCAAAGTGGTAGAACAATAGCATTGAGCAAAATGAGCTAAGGGACAATGCCCAGGCCCTGAGTTCAAGACCCACAATTGCCGGAGGCCAGTGGCTCATGCCTGTAATCCTAGCTACTCAGGATCACGGTTCAAAGCCAGCCCAGGCAGGAAAGTCGATAAGATTTTATTTTTTTTTTTGGTAGGTCGTGGAGCCTGAACTCTGGGCCTGGATGCTGTCTTCAGCTCTTCAGTTCAAGGCTAGTACTCTACCACTTGAGCCACAGCGCCACTTCCGGCTTTTTCTGCTTATGTGGTGCTCAGGAATCAAACCTAGCCCTCATGCATCCAAGTCAAGCACTCTACTACTGAGCCACCTTCCCAGCCCTCCATGAGACTCTTATCTCCAATAAACCACCAGAAAACTAGAAGTGGCACTGTGGCTCAAGTGGTAGCATGCCCACCTTAAGCTGAAGAGCTGAGGGGCAGTGCCCAGGCCCAGAGTTCAAGCCCCACAACCGACCAAAAAAAAAAAGACCCACAATTGTCCAAAAAGAGAGCAAGGGAAGGGGTGACATGTACGCATGGCTGGGAATGTGGCTTAGTAGTAGAGTGCTTCCCTAGCATGCACAAAGCCCTGGGTTCAATTCCTCAGTACCACAGAAACAGAAAAACCCGGAAATGGCACTGTGCAGTGCTATCTTTAAGCAAAAGAAGCTCAGGGGCAGTGCCCAGGCCCTGAGTTCGAGTCCCAGGACTAGAACAACAACAAAAAATGTCCTCCTTACCCAATTTATGTAACTGTAACCCCCTGTATATTACCTTTATATCACCACCACCACTACTACTAGAATCTCTTGGCCAACTTTTTTTTTTTTTTTTGCCAGTCCTGTAGCTTGAACTGTGGGCCTAGGGACTGTCCCTGAGCTTTTGTGCTCAAGGCTATCATTCTACCACTTGACTGGTCAACTATTTCTGAGTTATTAGTTAAATTAGTTGGCCCTTATCAGGAAAATAGGATTTGATTTCATTTCTCTCCTCCTTTCCTTCCTCCTCCTTTCATTTCTCTCTTCTTCCCTTCCTTCCTCTCTCACTTTCTGTTTATTTGTTTTTATCATGCTAAGGATCAAACTCAAGGCCTTGGACCTGCTATGCCAAGTACTCTCATCACTGAGCTATATCCCTGGCCCATTCATTCATTCATTCTTTTTCTTTGTAGTACTGAGTTTGAACTCAGGGCCTTTTGATTGTCAGGAAGACACTCCACCTTTTTGAGAAGTGTCACTTTTTTTGTTGTTGTTTGGCTGGGGTTTTTTGGTGCTGGTTCTGGAGCCTCAACTCAGGACCTTGTGTTCTTGCCTTGCTCTTTTACTCAAGGCTGGCACTCTACCACTTGAGCCATATCTCTACTTTCAGCTTTTTGGTGGTTAACTGAAGGTAAGAGTCTCTCAGATTTGTCTACTAGGATTTGCTTTGAACCAAGATCTTCAGATCTCAGTCTCTCAAGGAGCTAGGATTAGAGGTGTGAGCCATGGAGGCCTGGCTAAAAGTGGTACTCTCTAGCATAGGCAGTGAATCAGGCTAGACATTCCCCATCTACCCCTCCTACAGTAAAGTTGGTTTGCCTCCAGCAACACACACACACACACACACACACACACACACACACACACACACACACACACACACACACACACACACACACACACACACACACACACACACACACACACACACACACACACACACACACACATGATGGCTCATTCCTGACCAGCCTTCATATATATCTCGCTATTCCCACACTCATATATAATAATGGAACCTAGAGAAGACATAGGAAATATCAGCCGCATTCCCTCCTTTCACTTACTTTGCCAGTTTCACAAGAGCCATTTTCTCCACATCACCCACAGCATAAGCTCTCCAGTAACACTGTCAAAAAAAGTCACTTTACTACTCAACTTGTAACAAATAATCACATAAAGAGTAAGAGCCTTCTAACCCTTCTAGAAGTTCAGACATGCAAATCACAAAGCATTTTAACCATTTCTGACACATCTAGATTACATACTAGTATTCACACTGATCTCAGCTAGCTTTGTTTTTACCCTAAGGATGTAAAAAAATATTCAAACTTCACATGCACATAGATCACAATAAAGATAAAAATCAGTGCACAAAGAGCCTGATCTTCATGTAACAGCAGATTCCCACCCAAAATCTTAAGGCCCCAATTTTAGGTACCTTTTTGGCTTCCACTAGTTGATTGAGTTTCTCATAACATTCTCCTAAGGCAACCAGCATACGAGAATCATTAGGCCTAAGAAAAAAGCATAGGTAGTCTGAGCAGAGACTACCACCAATAACTTCAGCCTTTCATCAAGGAATAGCACCACTGCTATTGTACTCTTATTTCAAATCTATTCAAGGACTGGTCTTTAATAGAATGCTTCATATAATAACATTACTTTGTGTTCATAATTGTACTATTAATCCACTAGTGGAAGACATTCAATAAAAATGATCAATGTTTAGTCAATTTTAACTTAGGTCTCCATAAACCATCACAGTGACTTATTAATAGCTATCACAAGGCAAAGAAGCAATATAATCCTTCTCACACCAAGTGACCAGACTTACCGAAGCTGGTGGGCCCGTCTGTAATAATAAAGGCAGTAAAATGGCATCTTAAGGATTTCATAAGTCTGCCCAAGGCCATACCAAGCTCTGTAGTCCCTCTTGTTGACTTCAATGGCATGTCTAAGAAATTTAAAAAAAAAAAAAGACTGGTGAAAAGGCAAAATCACTGAGGTTTGCCACTTATAGGCTCAATATAGGTTCCTGACATTACAGCAGTCAAGTCCACCACCCTTCCTTCCTCCCCCAACACACACTCACTATATGCTTACCGATAAGCCTGGATAGCAGCAGATGTGTTTTTCATTTCCATGTACTCATGTCCCATTAGGGTCCATGCCCCAAGATACCGAGGATTCAACTTGAGGGCTCTCTGGAAATACAAGGCTGCTTTCTCATGCTGAGAACGTAAACTATAATAGTTGCCTGATTAAAAAACAAACGAAAAATTCATGAATACCTAGAAAGGTTTTTGTAAAAGTCTGCACCAAGGACTCATGCCTGAAATCCTAACTACTCAGGAGGATGAGATCCAGAAGATGGTTGTTTAAGGCCAGACCTGACAAAAAAAGTATGTTAAGCTCCATTTGCAACATAACCAGTAAAAAGCAGGGCTGGAGGGTTGGCCTAAGTGGTAGTTTGTTGGCCATGAGCAAGCCAAACAAGTATGAGGCCCTGAGTTTGAACCCTAATATCACCACCCCCAAAATTATACATTATATACTATATGTATATTTAGTACATATATATATACATATACATATATATATAAATGTATGTGTAATTTAAAAGTCTGCTAAAGTGGGCTGTCCATTAAGTGAGCATGAAGCCATAACCCATTCTCCCTAAAGCCCTGATAGAAAAACTAAACTATACACAAAAGGAATATCATTTTTTGTGGAGGGAGAAAGGGAGGGGGAGAGAGACAGGGGGCGGGGGTGGGGGGGCCTTGGCACACCAGTCCTGAGGCTTGAACTGCTTTTTAGTGATTAATTGGAGATAAGGGTCTCTAAGGTTTGTCTGTCAGAACTGGCTTTAAATCATAAAGCTCAGATATCAGCCTCTTGAGTAGGATTACAGGTATGGGTCACTGGCACCTAGCTAAAAACATATAAAATTTGATCCTTTTCAAAAAAAAAAAAAAAAAAATTGGTCATGGGGCTTGAACTCTGGGCCTGGGCGCTGTCCCTCAGCTCTTTAGCTCAAAGTGAGCGCTCTACCACTTGAGCCACAGCACCACTTCCAATTTTCAGGTGGTTTATTGGAGATAAAGAGTTTCATGGCCTTTCTTGCCTGGGCTGGCTTTGAACCGAGATCCTCAGATCGCAGCCTCCTAAGTAGCTAGGATTACAGACCTGAGCCACTGGTGCCTGGCTGATACTATTTTTATAAAGCAAACAGCCTGGGATTAGGAAGGTGGCTCAGTGGTAGAGTGCTTGCCTTGCATGCCTGAGGCCCTGGGTTCGATTCCTCAGCACCACATAAGCAAAAAGAAAAAAGCCGGAAGTGGCGCTGTGGCTCAAGTGGTAGAGCACTAGCCTTGAGCTGAAGAGCTGAGAGTCAGCGCCCAGGCCCAGAGTTCAGGCCCCACAACCGGACCCCCCCCCTCAAAAAAAATCCTGCATATGAGTACATATATTTAAATGTACCATGAGAACAAGTAAACACAAGTAATATAAAGATGGAAGGGGCAGATGGAAAAAAGAAAGAAAGAAAGAAAAGACCAGCAAAAAGCAAAAACCCTGTTACTTTAAAAAATATCCTTTGTAAGGGAGGGACCAAGATGGTGTAGGGAAACACCACAGCTCTCCAACCAAATAGAGTTCAGGTTTCAATGCTCCCTTTCTCCAAGAGACCACAACAACTAAAAGACGATTACTCAAGGAGATACAAGAAGTGAAAAAAGAAAAGGGAAAACTTCAGAACCTATACAAAGACAGGAAAGCGGGGAGACGGGGCTCCGCGCCGAGCTGCTCAAGCCACCTGGCACTGGACAACCACAAGTGTCCCAAGGCTCCTGGAAGACTCCCAAGAGCTGGTGCCAACCCAGAGAATACAAACAAAAATCAGAACGCAGAACCCGCTCGAAGACCTCCCCCCCCTTACCCTTCCGGTGTGGTGCCTCTTCCTGGCCAGCACAAGCAGCCCAACCCAGCCAGGAGCAGCAGTAGCTGCTGGCAGCAGTGGTGAACGGCCCTAGACACAGTGCCTCTCTGCACAGGCAGACCACGGGGGGGGGGGGGGGGGGGGGGGGGGGGGGGCGCATTGGTGGCTGCAGCGAACAACTCCAGACCCGTGGCGGGGCACAGCACCTCTCCATATTGGCCCACATAAGTGGCCCAGCTCAGTCCTCAGCTGCAGTGCAAACCCCCAGACTTGCAGTGGGGCGCCAGGCTTGCATAAGTGGTCTAGCCCAGAGCAGGGATGGCAGCTGTGAGAAACCCCAGACCCTCGGTGCCACACCAACAGCATAAACAGTGACAAAGGCTGTGAAACACAGACCTAGCCTGCACCACCACCCAGCATAGCCCACAATCATCTCAACCAATGTTGACCAGCAACCTACAGCAGACAAAACCAGCCATCTGCCACAGCACCATTGGACAGCTCCCAATCAGTACTCCACAGGGTGATGCCCCCCTATTTCACGCCCCTGCCATGGGAGAGCATTGATGGTAAACCCCCCAGAACTTGGGTTAGAACAACCCCCCCCCACACACACACCAGGGCTACAGGTCCTAAGGAAGCTGGGAGCTGTGCAAATGCACCAGAAATAAGCCGGAACACCCAGCCTGCCAGGCTTGACCAAGGGCACCCCTGGGAGGGAACACAAGCAGTCCAGGCTTCTGATCCTTGACTAAAGGTGGGAACTGCCTAAGATATCCAGTAGGCAGTTGAAGGCACCCTACGTGCATCCCAGACAGGAACCCTAGCTATCTTAACTGCTTGCCCGAGACTGGTCAGGACCTGAGTGCACACCCCAGCAGAGGGCAGAGTGTGTCTGCCCATCACAATCTAACAAGAGTTAGCGCCACATGGGTCAGACCAGCAGCTGGAAAGCAGCCCCTCCCACAACAGAACCTCAGACCAGGTAAAGTACTCTCAACCAGCCCAGTGCTGAGAGCAAGCTACATCAATTGATCCAGGAACAAATCCAGAACCAAGCAAAAGTAGCCACCTAGCGACCAAAACAATCAAGAGCCTGGAATTGTTCTCCAATAATTCCTGAATTCACATGCAAAAATCAAAGTGAAAAATTACAAGATTTATCAATGGCCAAGACAGTAAACCAGACTCAAAGGCCAGTAACCACACAGGGGAGAATGCCAGTGGAAGCGAAAAAGAAATGGAAGACAGGGCTGGGAAGGTGGCTCAGTGGTAGAGTGCTTGCCTTGCATGCATGAGGCCCTGGGTTCGATTCCTCAGCACCACATAAGCAGAAAAAGCTGGAAGTGGCGCTGTGGCTCAATTGGTAGAGCGCTAGCCTTGAGCTGAAGAGCTGAGGGACAGTGCTCAGGCCCAGAGTTCAGGCCCCATGTCCAGGAAAAAAAAAAAGAAATGGAAGACAAACTACACCCAAGAGATAATAGAGGCAATGACTCAAGAATTAAAACAAGAAATAGATCAGAAATATAAAGAACAAAGGAAATGGCTCAATTTCCTCCATGCAAAATTCAATTTCCTCCATGCAAACCACAATAGAAGCCACAGTTAATAGAGTGAATGAAATGGAAAAAAGAATATCCGATACTGAAGAAATGCAGGCACTGGAAAAAAAAAGTTACAGATATGGAAAAAACACTCAAAAAATGCCAAAGGGAAGTCTAACAACAAGCAGACTCTGCCAAGAAATTTAACCTTCCTATAATTGGGGTGGACAAAGGGGAGGAATACTAGAATAAAGGAATGCAACACTTATTCAATAAGATCATCACTGAAAATTTCCCATCTTAAAAGAGAAAAATCTCCGGGCGCTGGTGGCTCACGCCTGTAATCCTAGCTACTCAGGAGGCTGAGATCTGAGGATCGCAGTTCAAAGCCAGCCCGGGCAGGAGAGACCATGAGACTCCTATCTCCAATAACCACCAGAAAAACCAGAAGTGGCGCTATAGCTCAAGTGGTAGAGTGCTCACCTTGAGCTGAAGAGCTGAGGGAGAGCGGCCAGGCCCAGAGTTCAAGCCCCACAGCCGACCAAAAAAAAAAAAAAGAGAGAGAGAAAAATCTTGGAAGTGGTGCTGTGGCTCAAGTGGTAGAGTGTTCACCTTGAACTGAAAAGCTCAGAGGTAGCACCCAGGCCGAGTTCAAGTCCCATGACCAAAAAAAAAAAAAAAAAGAAAAAGAAAATCTTACCTACCTAACAGAGGACTACAGAACACCTAACAAGCAAGATCCCAGGAGGAACACTGCTAGGCACATTACAGTAAAAATACAAGACTTTAGCAATAAATAAGCAATCTTACATGCAGCATAAGAAAAAAAGGAGTTATATTACAATGGGAAAAAAAGTAGAATTACTGCAGATCTCTCCACACAAGACACTGAATGCAAGGAAAGCCTGGGAAAGTACCATCCAAGCCCTGATAACCAATAACTGCCAGCCTAGACTGGTACATCCAGCAAGGCTAGCATTTACATTTGATGGAGAAACTAAAATTTTTAATAGTAAAGAAAAACTAAATGAATTCATAAACAATAAGCCAGCATTACAAAGAATGTTAAGAGAAGGATTACAATCCAAAGAAAGCAATCAGGAACAGGGATCCATACCAGATAGATATCGTTAGGAGACCAACTTACTAAACACAGGAGGAAAGGAAAGAAGAAAAACTTAGGAAAGTAGAAAAATGACAGGAAACACAACATACCTCTCTATAATAACCATAAATATTGGGGCTGGGAAGGTGGCTCAGTGGTAGAGCACTTGCCTTGCATGCATGAGGCCCTGGGTTCGATTCCTCAGCACCACATAAGCAAAAAGAAAAAAGCCGGAAGTGGCACTGTGGCTCAAGTGGTAGAGTGCTAGCCTTGAACTGAAGAGCTGAGGGACAGCACCCAGGCCCAGAGTTCAGGCCCCACAACCGGACCCAAAAAAAAAAAAAAACAAAAAAAACCCATAAATATTAATGGACTCAACTCACCCAAAAGAAAAAGAACTGTAGATTGGATCAGAAAACAAGATCCAATGATTTGCTGTCTTCAGGAGACCCACCTCACAGCCAAAGATAAAAGCAAACTCCGAGTGAAAGGATGGAGAAGATCTGCAATGCAAATGCCCCCAACAAGAAGGCAGGAGTTGCCACTCTGATATCTGATAAAATAAACTTTACATTAAAAACATTTCCAAAAGACAAAGAAGGTAACTATATATTAATACAGGAAACAATCCAAGAAGAGAAAATTACCATTGTCAATCTATACTCTCCTAA